CTTTTCAGGACCCCACCTTGATGTTTCAGGACCCCACTATGGGTTCCAACCCCAACTTTGGGAAATACTGTATTACCCAGTGATCTGTGATCCAAGTGAAATCCATCCAATACCACAAAGATGGGTAGATTTTTGCCTGCTTTATATCCAGTCTTCAGCAAAAACAGAAGATCAGAAGCATCTGTCAGCAGAGAGTCAAATGCACTCTGACAATGGTAGCTATAATGTTGAGGTCGTTAGGTTCACCTTCAATGRCTGGGAGGAATTTGATCTGTGTGCTCTGCTTTGCATGGGTTCTCTTCATCCAGGCATTCCAGTTGGAGTGTGGGAACAAATCCTGGGCTTTGAATACCCACCCTGCTGTCCAGAGTGTATCACATGGAGTGAGGAGAGGCTGTCATGAGCCAGGGAGGAAGAGAGCTCAGTGATGGGGAGAAATGTGATGGTGTTTATTCCTGTCCATACTCTGTTGGTAAACTGAAGACTTCAGCTTCACTCAGGACCTTAGCTTTGTTAGATGCCTTCAGCTTCACCCCATGGACTTGGCAAAAGTGGTGCCAGAGAGGTGTTTTTGATCCAACCCATTGAGTTGAGGAGTGTTTCCAAGCACATACAGTGACTTAGTGACTGACATTGTTTCTCAAACCTCCATAGAGACCACCCGATCAACGTTTCACTTTCACTTGCTGTCATCATTGACTGATCCACAACCTCATCATTGATCTGACCATCAGTTTCTTCCACAATGGTGTCAAAAGTGGCCGAAGTATTTGTGGCATTATGTTTACTCCTGCTTTTAAGTAAGCAGTATTTGTAGTTTTGTATCTCAGAGTATGACTTGGTATATTCAGTGTATCCCCAGCAAGTGTAACTTGAGAAWYCATTTTGACCCAAATCTATGATCCAGTTGTATGGCAAGCCTCATTTCATGTTGAAATACTCATGACTCATGAAGTTTGACAGGATGCAGCTGCACAGCATTCACTTTGTGCTTTCCTGCAGATTTCCAGGACTGGATCCTTTACAAAGCCTGTCCCCCATGGCACCTGAGGAGACATTGAAGTTCACGAGCTGCAACTGTCATGGAGACTGCAGCTACCACGGGTACAGCTGCAAGAAAAATGGGTCCTTGTACATCTCTGCCTCTAAATTTGTCCGATCGAATGTTGAAAATTTCACTGACTTCTGATCCAGAACCACATGGCATTCTGGGGAATGTAGACAGAGGAATGGTTTAGCTGCACGAGCTTTCATGGCCCACTATGCCAACTTATGAAACATTTTTATGTCTAAATTGCTAATAAAAGTTGTATATTTGATCAGTTTGAATTGAATTACATACACACCAAAAAGAAGTTTCCTGTTGATTTTTTTCAATTCCTTCTTCAATGTAGACATCTTTAAAATGTTCTTAAGTTGACATAAGTTGTCTAGTGTGACAGGGCCTTAAGCAAGGTTGGTGGCATCTACTAACTCTATGGTAACCTAAAAACAACCTTTTAACGTGCATAATTAGTTTCATATTTCGTCACCGTGCCTCATAACTCCCTAAAAAACTAAAGACATGCAGTGAAAGGAGAAAATGAGTCAAGAGCCTGAGAGGAACTTGTGGATAAAAGACGAAAGGTCATGTCACCAGTTTGGCAGAATCAATCAGACTTTTTTTGTCCTGGTCCTTATTTCAAATAGGTAAAACCAAAAACTAATCAAAATGCTTTTGACACGATACAGTATTGCCCAGCCCTAACTGTGAATGAAAAATAATGTAATGCTGTGTTCAGACTGAAGCGATTAGCATGAAGGAAATTTTGTCACTAACTGAATGTTAGATGCAGTATTTTATACTGTTATTTTTGTCAGGTTAAAGCAGACAAAGAGTTGGTGTGTGTGTCTTATGTGTTCCTTCTTTAGCCTAAACAAAATGAGTTACGTTCTACGTCTGACATACTGTAAGTTACCACCTTCAGGGGTGTAACTACTGTATAAGCTCAATTCATTTAATATTAATAAGAAGTTGTTAGTGTTTTTGCAAAGTCTCTGCTTTGGGTTTTTAGCTCAAGGTCTTACGCTGAGGCCTGCTGGGTGCTGTACCTGATTGGAGTCAGAAGATTGAGAATAAAGAATTGAGAAGAAATCCTGTGGAGTCCTGTTTTATTCAGACATACCATTTTGAACAACGTATTTTCTTCTACAAGCACATCAAAAATGTGTCTCATGCCTTAAGTTGGACGCTTGTGCACTCTGAGGTCAGACACTTAAATGGCTCTAGATGTGCAGTTTGGAGGAACTTCTTGGTTGTTCTCCTCCTCTGCTGGCCTTTGTACAATGGCAGATGAAATTAAGAAAGTGGCTTTGCTTTATTTACTGAGAGCATGTCACTCTCAGCAGATATTTAATATAGAATTAATTCACCAGATAATACAGAGGAGTTCTGAGTTTCACCGCTCCAGGAGCTGAGCTGACGAGGGTCCCTTTCAGCTCTGACTCATTAGAGGGGGGTTTGAACCGCCAACTCTCCAATTAGAGGATGACTCGGTTATGGCCATGTTTATTTAACAAAGACAGAAATACGTGGTCCAAGAATGAAGGTACTCCGTGGGATGATCAGCTGAATTTTATTGCAACAACAGGAAACACAGAGAACAACTTGGCCTGTCTCTGTGCCTCTGCTTCTCTCTGTCACTGTCTCTCCACACTACTGTTGAACACTGTCTCGAGAGGCCTCATATATACAGTGGGGAGAACAAGTATTTGATACACTGTTGATTTTTCAGGTTTTCCCACTTGCAATGCTTGTAGATGACTGTAATTTTTATCATAGGTACTCTTCAACTGTGAGTGATGGAATCTAAAACAAAAATCCAGAAAAATACAATGTATGATTTTTAAATAATT